ATTTCTCTCTCTCTCTATCCCCCTACCTACCTACCTACCTACTCTCTCTTCCTATCTACCTACTGCATTTCTCTCTCTCTCTATCCCCCTACCTACCTACCTACCTACTCTCTCTCCCTACCTACCTACTGTATTTCTCTCTCTTTTTCTCCCTCTATCCCTCTATCTACCTACCTACTTTTTAAAAAAAATTGCCTCTTCAAAACTTTGGTGTGTCTTATACTCCGGTGCGTCTTATACTCTGAAAAATACGGTATGTTATCAGTTGCAGCAAGTGTAATTTGGATTCCCTGCACTACCAGCCTCGCCTTTCCCTATGTTTGCTTTTTGGCTGAGAAAAGGCTGGTAAGAAAAGGCTACATGGCTATTTTAAATTTGATGATTCAAGTATAGCAATAGCACTTAGACTTATATACCGCTTCATAGTGCTTTACAGCCCTCTCTAAGAGTCAGCCTATTGCCCCCAATAATCTGGATACTCGCTTTACCAACCTCGGAAGGATGGAAGGCTGAGACAACCTTCAGCCAGTGAGAATCCAACTGCCAAACTGCTGGCAATCAGCAGTCAGCAGAATTAGCCTGCAGTTCTGCATTCTAGAAAGGGACACAGTGACTCAGTGGCTAAGATGCTGAGCTTGTCGATTGAAAGGTCGGCGGTTCAAATCCCTAGTGCCGCATAACGGAGTGAGCTCCCGTTACTTGTCCCAGCTTCTGCCAACCTAGCAGTTCAAAAGCACATTAAAAATGCAGGTACAAAAATAGGAAACACCTTTGGTGGGAAGGTAACAGTGTTCTGTGCACCTTCAGCATTTAGTCATGCCAGGAACATGACTACGGAGATGTCTTCGGACAGTGCTGGCTTTTCGGCTTTGAAACACGAGATGAGCACCGCCCCCTAGAGTTGGGAAGGACGAGCATGTATGTGCAAGGGGAACCTTTACCTTACTGCATTTTAACCACTGCACTACTACGGCAAGTATGATTGCTTGGTACAAGTCCATCACTTAAGTTTTGATTTTGCATAGTTTTCAAATTTTAACCTGCATAGTTTTACTATTTTAATATACTTTAATTTCTAGTTGTTTTATAATTTATCAGCTGCCCAGAATCGCCTTATAGGGGAGATGGTCAGAATAAAAATCAAATAAATAAATGATGTGATCGTGCCAAGTTCAACCTTTTACCAACACCAACTCTTAAGCAGTAGCCCCTTTGTTGGAATACATTCAAGCTAATCTTCTTTCCAGAAATAGACTTTGGCTGGCAACCACAACATTTGTGGGAAACCCTGCATGAAGGAAGGAAGGAAACCACCGTCTCCTGTTGATTCACTTAGTTCCTAGAAAAGATTGGAGGACATCTGCCTGATGAGTCATCAATAAATCACTTCTTCTAACTCTTCATTGGAAAAATTAGGCAAGACGTCCGTAATGCTGAGGAAGGTGGAGGAACACGACAGCCAACAGCAAAGCGGAGGGATTTCATTATGGTACTGAGTGGTGCCCAAGGAGCCAGGTCAGAGACAGATTATCCTGGAGGAAATCTATCTAACGTGAGGTGCTGAGAGGTGGCATTGCCTAGATGGTGTATAATCAGTCAGTTAACACTTATTAGTCTGATCCTGCCTTTTACAACCTCTTGCTAGCCAGACACATTTGGGAAGTAGCAGTATCGATATCTCTGGAAAGGCTCAATAAGAAAAGACTGATCTAATCTTTCCAGCTTTTGGGGCTATGAAATCTGCAGGATGATTCATGGATTATGATCTTTGTCAAAAGTCTCATGTTCTGCACATATTTTGCCAGATTGGTTACATACACCTCTTGGCTCTTGGCAAACTATCTTCTCATGAATCATGAATTCATAAATGGCAAATCAGACTTCTCATGAATTTTGCCATTTGTATTAAATGGGTATTAAACTCAATTTCATTGAGGGCTGCATCAGGGTTGTGTTTGACCTTGGGAGGTGGGGGCATAGCCAGCTTGACGTCACTTATCGAGGTTCCGTTTCCAGCCATGGCAGCCTCCTGTAGCCCTCTGCCAGTGAAAACAGAGCTCAGGAGGGCCATAGGCAGGCATCCTGGGCTCCGTTTCCAGCCATGACAGCCTCCCGCAGCCCTCTGCCAGTGAAAATGGAGCTTGAGGCCTGCCTGTGGCCCTCCCGAGCTCTGTTTTCACTGGCAGAGGGCTGCATGAGGCTGTCTTAGCCAGAAACGGAGCCCAGGAGGCCTCCGTGTGGCCCTCCTTTTCGCTGGCAGATGCACCATGAGTGGTCCTTCATTGTCTCCAGGACGGGCTTGTGGGCCAGATCTAAGCACCCTGAGGGCCGCATCTGGCACTGCAGGCCTCGAGTTTGACACCCCTGGTCTAGATGGAAATTTTTCACCACGTTTTGTGTTAGCTTTCCACTCTATATCCATAAGGACTGGGTATCTTTGCTATTTAAAAACAAACCTGAAACCTGAAGATAAGGATAAATAATCACCAGATTAAACTCAGAAAAATCCCGAGTCGCATTTTTAACCTCCTTCCCCGGTCACTATGAACAAGGTTTCCAATACAGCTGAAGAACTTACATATCCACAAGCGATAGATCCTTCTCACCAGTGTCTGGTAATCAATTGGGATTTCATCGGCGAAGTTCTGGTAGAAGCACGGCTTCAGCGGGATAAATTTAGGAAGTGGGGGGAAATTGTTCTCTTTCTCTATAAAGATAATAAAAAAATCAGCTAAGTTAACAGAGGGAATGGCGACTTTAGTCATCAGAACAGTAAATCGGTCTGAAGATAAATACTCAAACAAGCCCAGGGGTGAAATGCTATCGGTTCGAACCGGTTGCTATCGGTTCGAACCAGTAGTAAAAAAATGGTACCGGTATTTCCAACGATCAGCTGTGACGCAGGATTTCCTGCTTTCTAGCTAATCTAAATCATGTGACACAGCGGATTCCCCCCCCCCACCTTGCTATACGTTTGCAGACGCGCTTGGTACAGAGGTGGTATTCAGCAGGTTCTGACCAGTTTTGGAGAACCGGAAGTGGAAATTTTGAGTAGTTCGGAGAACCAGTAAATACCACCTCTGACTGGCTACATCTATTCTCTGCCTCCCAAATCCCGGGTAATCGGGAGGAAATGGGGATTTTGTAGTAACCTTCCCCTGGAGTGGGCAGGGAAGGGAGATTTTACAGTATCCTTCCCCTGCCACGCCCACCAGGCCATGCCACACCCACCAAGTCACACCCACAGAACCAGTAGTAAAAATGTTTGAATCCCACCACTGGCTCGGTAGCAGGCTCATCCCACCCGCCCGGATGTCATCACGTCCATTTTTGACACTCTGCACATATGCGGAAGGTCCTGCGCATGTGCGGAGGTGGTACATGTTCTCATATTTGCAAACTGGTAGCAAATGTAAGTAGATTTCACCGCTGAACAAGCCTACAGAGTTACTGAGGAACACAAATAAAAGAAGTCAGAAGAAACAGCCGAACATCCATCAGGAATGCAAGAAATTGTAATCTAAGCAAGATTATGTTACGACTTTTAGGCAATGCAGTCATGAACAAAGTAGCTTTGTAGAGACATTTTTAACATAAAGATGTTCATGTATATTGTGTTTCTCCAAAAAGAAGACCGGGCATTGACACCACCACCACCACCCGAAAAAACAGCTAGGCCTTCTTTTTGGAGGATTCTAATTATTGACTCACCTTGCGGCGGTGGCACCGACAGCTGCGCCCAGCAGGAGCCTGCTGCTGGCCCACTTCTCCTGCGGCCCCTTGTTGCCACTCGCATGCATCGCCCCAGCCTCTGTTTCGCCTTTAGATGCCTGCCGGAATGCATCTGCAGCCGATAACAGAGCTCCGGATCCTTTTGGCAGGCATCTGAAGGCGAAACGGAGGCTGGGATGATGCGGGAAAGTAGCGGCAAGGAGCCGCAGAAGAAGGTGAGGCAACTGTCAGATTGTGCGAGGCCTGGTAAGTAGGGCAGCTCCACTACCCCCCAATGCCTACCCTAGCTTATTTTTTACCTGTGTGCCTCGCCCCACCTCCTGCAGTCCGGGGTGGGCGGGGTCTTAATTAGGGCTAACTTTGTGGGTGGGGCTTAATTTGATCGCATGCGCTCAAAAACATGATAGGGCTTCTTTTCAAGATGGGTCGGGGGTTTTTGGGGGGAGAAACGCGGTATTCATACAGCTCAACAGGGATTGGAGAAACGGCTGTCGTCCAAGTCAATTTTAGCTTTGAGAGAGAAACTTTGAACTGTTTCAGTTGCACTTTACCTGCCATTCCTTCTTTAAGTGTCTTGTCAGAAAGTGTTAAATCATGAAGAGCTGGGTCTAAAACAGAGGAAAAGAAATGTTAAGAGACCGCCTGCTGCCAATTACCTCCAACAGACCTATTAGATCCCACAGATTAGGCCTCCTCCGAATCCCATCTACTGGCCAAAGCCCATTTGCTTCCACCCGGA